AGTTCTTCATTCATAATTCCCTTTTATCTAGGATTTCTCAGTGCTTCTTAGATGTTAGGAGTAATAGATGCAATAAATAATTTATTGCAAAAATGGCTTACTTTTTTTTATAGTCTATAGTAGGATACATAGTATTTTACGGGATACTTAGCATTTAAACTGATAATATGTTGAGAATTATCTCTAATGGCATGGTTATGTTGTATTTTTGGAAGGAATTGAGATTCATAATGTATTTGGAGTTCGGGAAAACAATCAACCTAAAAAACAATTGGTTAGATAGTACTTAAATGGAGTCGCTTCCATTTAATTCTAATTATTTTACTCATTCAAACTAACATCCGATTGGTCGAAATTAGGTTGCTCTTGTTGCACAGTTTTCTCACCTTTATCCAACAATTCACCACTTATATTCAAATGATCTAAAGAAGGATTTAAATTTAGTGTTTGCAATTCATTTCGTCTTTCCTCTTGAATTGAGGACTAGTGAACGATATAGTACATGTCATTTCTAGGAAAGACAACATCAAGGGTGACAAACATTTTTCATGATGGGGATGATAATAGTGATAGCTTTTCTGAAGTGATACATATCCAACAAAGACAAGCTGCAGGGTTCGTGGTTCCAACTTATCACACAATGACTTAGGGAGATGCACAAATGCCACACACTCGACAATAAATTCAAAGTTGTAGGAGCCGTTACAATTGAATGAAAAACTTCAAAAGGGGATTTGAAAATTTAGTGGGCTAGAGGTTACATGATTTATGAGGTAAGCCGCATTATTAAGTGCTTCACCCCAGTAACTAGTGGACATGTGAGCTCCAAGCAAAAAGGCTCATACGACTTCAAGTACGTGGTGATACTTGCCCTCCACAACCCCATTTTACTGAGGGCAATAAAAACAAGTTGTTTGGTAAGATATGTCATGTTTCTGCAAATATTTTTTCAGGTTCTGATTAATAAAATATTGACCATTATCAGTGTGAAAAATATGTATGTAAGATTAGTATTGAGTGACAATCATCTTATAAAATTTCTGAAACAATGAGCTAACCTCTTTCTTTTATTTTGTGAAACAAACCCAAGTTATATGTGTGCGATTATCAATAAATGAGACAAACCAATGAGAACTATTCAAGGAAGGTTTTTGGTTTGACTCCATACATCAAAGTGAATTGACATAAAAGTATTGGATGTTTATCCATGCTCAATGGAATGATTCACAATGGATTTTTGAAAGTTTACAAATATTATATTTGCAATATGAAGTATTTAAATAAGAAAGCAACATTGGGAGCAATATTTAAATATCTAAAAGAAGTATGGCCTAAGTGCCTGTTCCATAACCAAACATCAAAGGACTTGTCGATATGATCCGTTGAATGAGCTTGAGCCAACTGATGGTAGGCTTCAAATCCAGATAATATAACTTCCTTCTAGTACCACAGCTAATTGTAGTCCGAGTTCGATTAACCTTGAAAACACAATAGTTAGGCCAAAAAAATAGGTGATAAATTCAAAATTGTTGGAGAAGTTACAATTTAATGGAGAACGTCAAAGGAAATCTAAATATCCAGCAAGCTAGAGGGTACACGGCTAATGTGGTAAGCCGCAACATTGAGCGCTTCGACCCAGTAACTAGTAGACATGTGAGCTCCAAACAAAGAGGCTAGTACAACTTCAAGTAGGTGGCGATTCTTGTGCTCCACAACCCCATTTTGCTGAGGGCAATAAGAGCAAGTCATTTCAAGAGATGTCATGTTCCTGCAAATACTTCTTCAGGTTTTGATTAACAAATTCTCCACCATTATCAGTTCGAAGAACTTGTATGTGAGATTGGTATTGAGTGATGATCATCGTATAAAATTTCTGAAAGAAGGAGCTAACTTCATTCTTTGATTTCTTCATACAAACTCAAGTCATACATGTGTGATCATTAATAAACGAGACAAATCAACAAGAAACATTCAAGTAAGAGTTTTTTGCTGGCCCCTATACTAGACATTTATTCATACTCAATGGAATGATGCATTATGACTTTTTTTGCATGTTCACAAATTCTACATTTGAAATCTAAAGTATTAAACTGAGAAAACAACTTTGGGGACAATACTTTTAAATATGTAAAATGAGTGCAAAGATTTGTTTGGGGGCAAGCCAATAACCACAACAAGAGAACAAACGTTTGGCAACACTTATTTCATAACTTCCCTTTCGAAATCGTGCTTGGTTAAATTCAGTCTTTTTAGCAGATTGTCGAGGCTTGGGATTAGAGCATTGAGCCACTAGAGTAGATGACTCGGGATTATCGTGTTCAAAATTTAAGGAAGCTCGACGCATAGCAGCTCGATGAACATGCACGTAGGTGTCATCGAGGTCCATCGAAGGGCCATTTCGAAGAACCCTACGTCTAATATGTTTGAATCTGCCTCCATATTACTAAGGAAGATGCGGACTCTCAACCATGCAACAAATCTCTTATAGGTGACAATATCATCAGGTTCCTTCGTGATAACTTTGTCAGAATAATCTATTTCTTAGAAAATTTCTACAAGCTCGCCGTAATAAGTTGATTGAGGCCGAGCAACTTGTTTGGTGAAGGACTCTACTTCAGTACAAAGTATTGTGTCTCATATGAGCCACCATAAAATTATATTGCAAAAGGGATCCAAATTTTCCATGCAGTACGCAATCAAATGTAACGCTTTATTGTCTCTGACAACATGGAGATCAGTAACCAACCCTTGTCCTTTTGATTTTATGCAAACCACTTTGCATAAGTAAGCATCTGTTTTCCTTGGTGGATCAATTTTACCTATAATATATTCGAGCTTCTCACATCTTGAGATTTGCATGTCTAGTATTTGAGATCATATATCACAGTTATCTACGGTGAATTTTCATATTGGATATGGATTACTGGGTTTGATGTTTTGAGATTAGAGGATTTGGAAGCCATATGGGTAGGTTTCGACTTCCCGCAGGAGGAAGTTTCAAAATTTGGTGGATTTTTTTTTGTGATCTGGAGGTTTCAGGCATTGAAGCTAGAATTTTCAAATTGGTTATGAATTATTGAGGTTGATGGTTTGGCAATAGAGGATTCAAAAGCCATATGGTGTTAGGTTTCGGCTTCCTGTAGGAGGAGTTTTCAAAATACGGTGGATTTTTTCAAGATCTGGTGAAAGTTTTCAGGATCTGTAGGTTTTTGGCTTCCTGTAGGAGGAGGTTTCTAAATCTGGTGCAGATTTTTGGAGAAGCTTTGATAAGTGGTACCAAATCAAATTCTTGGTTTTTATTTATATCTTTCATTATATAATATTGTTGCTATAAATAACAATTTTACATAACTGGAATGCTAAAATTTAGGACTATAAATCTTTTACCCATTAAAGCATATCTCTAATTTAGGTAACATATATATTTACAATCAATCTATGCACGGAAGTATACCAACTTGGAAATACTGTTTGAATCTTCAATTTGATTTTTTTTATTTCGAGCTAAAACCAGCCGAACTCAATCGAGGGTTGTTCGTGTTAGCCTCGTTTATAATTCGAGTTTAAAAAATTTGTTTGTATTTGGCTCACTTACTCAACTAATGATTTGAACACAAGCCATTCGCGAACAGCGAGTTTTTTTGACAACCCAATGGCCAGCTATGTTTAACATGTACAAGCAACTTGGCCAATTTTTTTTGAGAGTGCAAAAATAAATGCAATTTGGTTTGGATCTGAGTAGCAATGCATTTTTTTGGTTCTCCCTTTCTTATCTGCTAACTGTGAAAAGAACCATCGGGACGATCGCCCTGCTGCAGGGAGTCTAAGATCCGATCACTCACAATGGCAAAAAAAAAAATAGAAGCTTGGTTTAAGATAGAAGACATGAAGGTTGAACGTTCAGTTTAGTTTGCTTTTGATAGAGAACATTCTTCTAGTAAAATTAGGGGAATTTACATAAGTAGCACAAACATGTCTCACTCTTAAACCTTCATATTTTCATACATAGCGCTTTGGTGCTTTAAAGCTATGCATGAAAATTTGAGTTCTATATGTGTAAATATGAAAGTTTAGGTGTGAGCTGCGTAAATACTTAAAGCTTCTGTGCTATGTATGTAAATGCCCCATCAAATTATTGGCATGATGCAAAACAGTAATTGGACAAGAAAGGTGCATCTGGGTTGTAAACTGTGACCCAAATTCTATTGGGGCTTTAGATCAGAAAGTCTGGAATTCATGGGAAACTTTTTGTGGATCCGTAATGCTAATGACCTTCATGTTTTTAGGGTCGGGCTTATTAGGGCACTGCAAATGCCTTATATGTAGCTATGAGAGTCATCACTCTCCACTTCTAACTTTTTTCTTTTCAATATAGTGATTTCTTCTTCTCTTCTCTGATGAATTTTCCACATAAATCTTGTTATATCTTGATTTGTGTCTTATTTGTCTCTTCTTTTTAATTTTTAAATGAACTATCTAGTCCTCCCTCCTACATTACTAGGATTGGAATTCCTGAAAGGCTAGTTTCTACATCCCTCCCATGGTCTAACTAGACAGTGTTTGGCTCTTACTTAGATTTACGTTAGATAAGGTTTATCAAATCCGACGAATAACTCCACCTCGCAATGGGATTTACTAAATCTGGATTTACGAGGCGGTGTTTGGCTGCAACATAAATTTACATTAAATAGAAATTTTCAAATCCAATGGAATAAATCCGCCTCGCAATGAGATTTACTAATTCCAGATTTACATCGTAAAACACACAAAACACGAGAAAATTTTGATTTAACTAAGCGTTGGATTAAATTTTCATTTTTTTTTTTATGTTTGGTAAGATCTAAGTTACGTGTTTTTAAATAAAGGCAAAATTAAAAATAAATAATAAAATTGATCCAAATAAGCCTTAAATGTTTATGTTTTTGTCCTATTCTTGAAGATTTTTGGAATTCTATGTCTCAATCGTTATGCTAACCTTTGATTTATTTATTTGTTTTCAGTGGGTGGCATCATTTTTCTTTTGGAGGAAGAACTCACAAAGGATAAAGTATATAAACATTTTTACTAAATTTTTGTTCTATTTTGTAGCCGATTATCTTAACTAATGCCCGCACGCTATTATTGTTTTATCATATCAGGTACCCAATGGGCTTATCAAATCAGCAGATCGGCTTATTGGTCATTCTTGACAAGTCCCAACGCAGGAGGCTGAAGTGGTGTCTGACTAGAGTGCCGATGTGATTATATAAGTACAGGTGCTTATAAATAAATATTTTTTTGTTTTTATATATATTTTTTTTGTTCAATTTTTGTGCTTGGAATATTACCAAAATTTGTTTATCTGATTATATGGAAGATTATGACTTTGATTTTCTTCTTTATGAATCAGCAGGGTTTTGTTGGTGCTAATTCGCTTAATAAATGAATAAATTATTGTGAATATTTTTATTTGATGCATGTCATTTTAGTCGGTGCGATTAAAAAAAATATTACGTCCGGACAATGTAAATCCAGACGACAGTGTGGATCGCATCACAAACTGTTGTTAATTGTGGTTGATCGTAGCAAAGCTTATGCTAATTTTTTTTTTTTTTTGGAAATTAACATACCACACAATGCTTCTGTATGCATATATTTATAATTTTACTTTAAAAGTAAATTATAGTGATGTTTGTAAATTGATATGTTTGTAAATATAGAAGTTTTGGAGTTAGATATGTAAATATGTAAGAATCGTGTTGTATGAATATAAATACCACCCTGTTTTGCTGAAACTTTAAACAAATGTTGAAGTTGTTTCAAGGTTTATTTTTTGCATTGTTGTAATTAAAGCAATTACATTATAGAAAAGGATGTTTAACATGCCGCAAAGACCAGTGGTTGCAAACTTAGGAGTTCATTTTTGTCCCTTAAACACTCATATAATGGCACTTTATCCTAACAACATGGAGATAACATAGAATTCAAAGGATCAAGCTTAACCGATTTTAATATTCAACCTTGTATAGAGTTTTTTATATGGAGCTTTTATCACATTTTTAATAAGCTGATTTATGAGCATTATATGATTTTATTAATGAATATACAACAACAACAATAACAAAACTTTATCCCACAAAGTGGGGTAGGCTGCTGCATGAATCTTTTTTCACCATCGTGTCCTATTGAGTGTCATATTTTCATTTAATTCTAATAAATTTAGATCATTTTAAATACAATATGCTCAAGTCTTTCTAAGTCTACCTTTATCTTTCTTAATATAAGTCAAATTTAAAAACATCTACTCTCATAATTAGATCATTAGAAGGTTGACATTTAATGTGACCAAACCTTCTAAGGTGACTATCTCTAATTTTGTCTGCCACTGGAGCTACACTAACCCTATCATAGATATATTCATCTTGCATTTTGTGTCTTAAGTATAAAACCACTCATCCACCTAAGCATTCTCATCTCGACAACATTTAACTTGGTTTTATGCTTCTTTTTTAAAAGCTAACATTTTGCGCCATAAAGCATTGAAGGTCTCACCACCATCTTATGAAATTTTCCTTTCAGTCTAAACGATCTATCACACAATAGGCCCGAAGCATTCCCCCACTTCAACCAACCAACTTGAATTCTACTATTTACATCCCCATCTATCTCACCATCACTTTGAACAATAGATCTGAGATATCTAAAGCGTTCACATCTTTTAACAATTTGATCACTCATAGTTACAACTCTGTCACTAGAGTTACTGCTACTAAAATTACATTACATGTATTCAAGAGTATACTCAAACGAAGACATGCATCAAATAAAAATACATGTATTTGAAATGCGAAAAACATACAAGTTACTAAAATTACATGTATTCAAGTTATACTCAAACGAAGACATTTAGGGTCCGTTTGGGGCGGCGGTGTGGCACCACACCGCAGTTTTATCTATTTGAGTAAACTGCGTTTTATCAGTTTTTTCAAAAAGCTGCCGCTGAAATCTGCATTTTCCCACCACTCCTGGCTAGATGCGACAGCAGTTTTCTAACTGTGGTTTGACTTTACAAAAAAAAATTATAATAATCACCGCAACTTTTTGAGCATCAGATTATTATTCAACAGTTCACAACTGCTTTTTAATAAGCTGCAGCTGCCCCAAATAGACCCTTAGACTCAAACGAAGACATTTAGACTCCATTGTAGGTCGCCATAATTCAAAATTTTCCAGAGCTTTCTCTCTAGTCTTATCCACGAGAAGGATATCATCAGCAAAAAACATACACCAATGTACATCCTCCTATAAATGTCCAGTAAGAGCATTTATAACTAAAGCAAAAAGATGTGGGCTTAAAGCAGATCCCTGATGTAATAAAATTGAAATTGGAAAATATTTGGTCAATCCTCCTTCTGTTCGAACACAGTAACAACTTTAGTATACATATTTTTAATGACTTGAATATAAGTCATATCAACACCTTTGTTCTCTACAACTCTCCAAAGCATATCTCTTGGAACCGTATAGTAAGCTTTTTCTAAATCAATAAATATCATCTGTATATTCTTCTTATTCTATCTGAACTTCTCCATCAAACTCTCAATAAATGTATAGCTTCCAGAGTAGACCTGCCCCGCATAATCCAAATTGATTATGAGAAATTTTTGTAATACATCTTAACCTATGTCCAATTACCCTCTCACGTAATTATAAAGTATGATAAATCAACTTAATTTCTCTATAATTTGTACATTCTTGTGCATCCCCTTTATTATTTTTAAAAATGGGGACCAAAATATTCTTCCTCCACTCCTCATACATATTTTTAGTTTTAAAAATAATATTAAAGAGTTTATTAAGCCAAAAAACTTCCAAATCTCTTATATATTTCCACACTTTAATTGGGATATCATCTGGTCATACAGATTTTCCACTTTTAGTTTTCCTTAAAGCCTCCTCAACTTTTTTTTACTAATGTCATGGTAAAAATGAAACATTTTATTATAATTAACAATATTAAGATCACTAAGATCGATTGCATTTACAAAAACTTCATTAAAAAATTTATCAAAATAGCTCACCCACCTATGTTGAATATTTCTTTTTAAGAAAAATACTTTGTTTTTTATTTTCATCTTTAATACAATTACTTGAGTTAAATTTTTTACTATTCTTTTCGATTCACTTAACTAGTTTATACATATATTTTTCAACTTCTTTAGTATCTAATATATTATAAAGATAACAAAAAAACAGAATTTTTAGCATAACAGATTGTTCTCTTAAACTCCTTAAGGGACATTTTTATTTTTCTTAGTTCTCTAAGTTTTTACATTTAAACCAATTTTTATAATATAACTTCTAATATTTTACCTTTTCATACGCATTTTTATTTCACCACCAACAATTTATATTTATAATTTTTTTTTCTTTTGATTCTCCAAATACATCTTCTATCATTTGTTTAATATTGTTTGTAACTTTATTCCACATAAAATTTGCTTCTTCATGAACATCCCAAATCTTGAAATCTTGAAGTTTACTCATAAATATAATTTTATCTGTCTTTTAAGTGTCCATATATAAATCTATGATAATGATTCCTAGCATTCTTTAACTTAAATCATCACTGGAATGACTTTACAATCTTTATATTCTCGATGATCTCTTCTTCTCATAAGAAAATAATCAAATTGTGTTTTATAAGATCCATTTTTATATGTAATAATATGTTCATCTATTTTCTTGAATGAAGTATTAGCAAGAACAAAATCATACGATAAAATAAAATCTAATGCGACTCTATCTTCTTCATTAATCACTAAAAAATCGTAGTCACTATGAATCTTTTTAAAATCTCTTACCACTCTATCGACACGTCCATTTAAATCTTCTCAAAAAAAAAAAAAAATTTTCTCAAGAGGTTTCATTTGCATTAAGTCTTTTAGGTCTTTCCAAAATTTTTCTTTAAAACCTATATCTAAACCTACTTGAGGAGCATAAATCTTATAATATTAAAAATCTTAATGTCAACAAAAATCGTAAGGGCTATAATTCAATCTCAAACTCTATTAATTTTTACAATATTATCGTTAAACTCATATCTATAATTACACTTACGTCATTTCTAGTGTGATTCCTTTATGAATGCCAAAGCTCAAAATCTAAATTTTCAATCTTCTTAGTCTTTTCTCCAACTCATTTAGTTTCTTGAGTATATAACATATTTATCTTTCTATGAATCATAACATCAACTAATTCCATTAATGAATATAAATGAATTAAATTATTTATATTTGTCCCTTTAATAATGTTGCATTCATAAAAGTCTTCAATCTTCTTTGATTAATAATTTGCAAAATAGTTGCACCTTTGCGGCCCTAACACAATTAAAATTTTATGGGGGTGATTGGTAGCACAATTTTAACAAGATTTAGTCAAGAATTTAACTCAAATCCAGCCAAACGCAAAATAAATAAATAAATAAACGAAATCTAACTTTCTGTTAATTCGAATTTATCCAAGTTCTATCTTCTCTACAACCACTACGTCACAAATTTGAATTTACCAAATCCCACAGACGAATTTGCCGAATTTACATTACCGTTACTTGCAACTTTTGTTCTGAACAGACTTATAGAAAATACAAATTTAATAAATACTACTTAACTTGAAGCTCATTCTTAGGAGCATTTATTGCATCAGGATACCTGACGTGTTCAATTAAAATTGAGCACAGCAAAATGTGAGCCCTACTGAAATACACGGATTAAATTTTTTTTTGTTTTTAATATGAGACTCATCCTAATAGAGGACCAATTTTAATTGGACATCAAAGATATCCTCATGCAATAATTTTTCCATTCTTAGAGCCACACCCCCTAAACCCCCAAAACCCTAAAGCCCATATTCAGCCCCATTCGACCGTCGTGTCTGCGAGATGCCCGGAGCCTTCCATATATCCACATCTCGTCATCTATCCCGAACAAGGAGGAAGAAAAGAAGAAGATCCATCTCAAACGCAAATTCTGCATCTCCCAAAAGCGTAGAAATTAAAACAAATCCCTGCGACGAAGAAGAAGATGAAGCAGAAGTAGGATTTAACCTAAAAGCCTCATCTTGCTCTCAATCCCACTTCATACAACCTTTAGGAAACCTCCTACTCGACCCCTCAACCAACATCCGCAATCCTGGCCTTGGTAACCTCCGAGTTCTCTCCGACGAGATCCTCGTCGACATCCTCGGCCTTCTCGGCGGCCGCGACCTTGGAATTTTGTCATCAGTGAGCAAATCCATTTACGTCTTCTCCACTCACGAACCTCTGTGGCGGAACCTCGTCCTCGAGGAGCTTAAGGGAGAATTTTTGTTTCATCGATCATGGAGAGCCACTTACATTTCATCCGTCAATCCCCATGTTCCCCCAATTTCCACTCTGCCCTCGATGCTCCGCATCAGAAATTTTTACTCCGATTACCTTTTCCAGAGCTGGCTTTGTGCCAATTTGGAAATGAAGAAGGAGTGGCTAGAGAGGGACAATATCGAGAGGAGGCGGCAATTGTCCTTGGAGGAGTTTGTAAGTTCCTTCGAGGAGCTCAATAAGCCAGTGCTGCTTGAGGGATGCCTCGAACACTGGCCGGCAATGGAGAAATGGAGCAAAAAAAGATTGGTTCAGATTTGTGGGGGTGTTAAATTTGCAGTGGGACCTGTTGAGATGACAATGGAGAAGTATTTTCGGTATTCAGAAAGCGTGAAAGAGGAGCGCCCATTGTATCTGTTTGATCCTAAGTTTGCTGATAAGATTACTGAGCTCGGCTCAGATTACGATGTTCCTGTATACTTCAAGGAGGATCTGTTTTCTGTGCTTGGGAAGGATCGACCGGATTACAGATGGGTTATAATCGGGCCTGCAGGATCAGGCTCTTCGTTTCATGTGGATCCCAACTCTACATCTGCTTGGAATGCTGTGATAAGGGGATCAAAGAAATGGGTGTTGTTTCCTCCGGAAATTGTGCCGCCGGGAGTTCATCCGAGCCCTGATGGATCTGAGGTTGCTTGCCCCGTGTCTATAATGGAGTGGTTTATGAACTTCTATGGAGCATCTCGGAGTTGGAAGAAGAGGCCAATTGAGTGTGTGTGTAAAGCAGGCGAGGTGGTTTTTGTGCCCAATGGATGGTGGCATCTTGTGGTCAATCTTGAGGACTCCATTGCTATCACACAAAATTATGTGAGCAGGTAATCTTCTTTATGATTTCTGAAATTTCTACCTTTAGCTTTTGGGGAATTTATGTACATATTGCTATGCGAAACAATACGGAAACAAATAAATTCACACAGCAACAATCAAACTCAAAAGATTTATGTGGTTTGCCGTTAAGTTCATTCACCTATGTCCACATGGAGAGAGATTTCAGTAGCACCAAATGCCGAGAAAGAAAAAGACTATGGGTTACAACTCACACTTTTCACCATATAATACTCATAAGCCTTTAAGTCTCTTTTATAGAGGACGAGGGCATACAAGTAAATAAAGACAAGAGATCAAATTATCCCTAACACAATCAAAGCCATAAATACAATAATCTTCACCTCATCTCTTACTTCTATTTAAGTCTAGATAAGTGAGAGATTACCAAATGAACTTCAAATCCCAATTCAACTGCACCAAGATGATTAAATACGTCAAGATGATTAAATACGTACCCCCCTCTTGAAGGGATCAAGTCTTGCGTTTTTCAAAATACCCGACCAGACAATCAGCACTGAGCTCAGATTTTCACCAAACTCCTGCAGTAGGTGAACTTTTGGACTGTTAGTACCTTTGTGAGCGTGTCTGTTGGGTTCTCATTCGTATCTATCTTCTTCAACATGACCTTTAGTTTTAGGAAAATTTACATTCACACCACACAATTCTTATGTATTTACATATCTAACACCCAAAGTTTGATAGTTACACTTATAACACGGTGCATAAACCTATGCATACTTTTAAAAAGTAGTGATGATGGTATTTTTTTATTTGATGTTAAAGATTTGAGTGTTATGCATGTAAATATGAATGTTTAGGTGTTAGATATGCAAATATACATGCATATGTCACTTAGTTTTATCACCCTGTGTTGGTTTTTTGATAAAATGATATGAATTTATATGTATAAAAATGAGTGGAGCAATTTGAATGTTGATGCTGAAAGCAATACCGCAAAGAATTGAATTTTCTTAGAGTGGAGATAATTTATTTGTTTGGACTAGAAAAATGCATTGTTGAAAGCAATACTGCAAAGCATTGCTGAAAGCAATAATTGGTCTACAGTAGGAAGGTGCTATGAACATTTGCTTGCAACATTTAATAAGTAGGGTTTGTTTGGTTGGAAGCATTAGGAGTATATTATAATCTGATTACGTGAATTTGAAAGTTTCTCGTTAGTTTGAAGTAGATAATGCAAAGTAATTTTTTAAGGGATTTGAAATACTCCACCCCTATTTTTCAACAATTTACTGATAGGCTCATTTCTAAATCCCACGCTTGTTGCCCTTCACTTGTTTCAGTCACCTACTTATCTATGTGGCCTACTTCACAATTGCCTTCATTGTTCGCTCAGCATCGATCACTTGTATCTCTGTTCTCGGTCGAATGCTTTGCCTACCTTGTCTTAACCCATGTCATTTCCCTCATCATCAACCTATGAGAGAGCGAGAGTACTTGAAATGTATCATAAGAAATAAAGAAATAATAATACTTTTGATTTGTATCCAACCAAATAACACAGTGCATTTTAAAATTCATGCATTCTAGCTACTTCACATTTTTAAGATGCATGCATTTTGAAAACTGCTAACCAAATAACCCCACAAGTTGTTCACATGAAGTAAAGTGCTTTTCCAAGATGTGCCCGAAGGTTTCTTATCTAAAGCCAAAGGGTGATATGGAGAAGAGGATTGAGGATATCTAATTGTGGTGTTGAGCCCTAACAAAATGTTCTTGTTGGTGGAGATGATAGTGATGATGTTGGTGCAAAGTGTCAAAACAATTCTCACGATAATTTGGTGTATCATTGAACGGGGATTATGGTTTACTTGTATCAGAATGATTGGACCTTGATAATAGAACTAAAGTTTCATCGAGAGCGAACCTCCAACACCATTGAACGGGGCTATTAGCTGTCTAACCTATAAATGAGAAGGTTCATTTCACTTTTTAAAAGTTATAATAGCTGTATCGATAAATATATATCTATATGTAAATATGTAAATATGTATATCTATATATATACTTATATATATATAGAGAGAGAGAGAGGGAGAGACACACACACACACACAAACACACACACACGCACAAACACACACACACATTGCTGATCTTTAATAATCAATGAACTTAATTATATTTTTTTGTCCATATTTTTTCATAATCTACCGTAGAAAATTACAGCAGCATTCACTAGTATAAATTTCTACACGTAGTGCTGCTAGGAAACGCGAAGAGGTTTGAAACTTCACATCTACGGGACAATCTTGATACTGACCTCTTTATTGATAATAACAGAAGATGGGGCATTTATATACATATCACATGATTCTTGTAAGATCTAAACTTTGCATTTACACATGTAAGATCTAAACTTTGCATTTTACATTTATACCACCAAATCTTTCATGCCACATAAAAAATACCACTATTTTAACTATTAAGAAAAGGAATACATCTTTTCATTCCTAGATAAGATGGTATATACCTAAAAAATTGAAGTTTAGGTTTTAGATATGTAGATACATAAGAACTGAGAGGTATGTATGTAAATCTTCTAAAAATTTATATTTTCAATTACCAATTAAGAAACAGTGAATCAAAGCCGCTTCTTGAAGAAATATTAATATAACATTTTATCTATATTACAACCTTCACACCAACCCATCTTCAGTGTTGAGAACTCCAGTTTCAACCCTAAAAATCTTGACTGAAGGAAGATCCAAAGCTCCTCACCTTTGTTTTCCGAAATCCTCTCTCTCTCTCTCTCTCTCTCTCTCTCTCTCTCTCGTCTCCTGGTTTTATTTTTTATTTGGTCCGACTTATGTGTATGCACACACATGCGCTCACACATCCACTCCACACACACATAACCATTGTTTGAAATGATTAACCACAATTTAAACCAAATAACTTCAATGTATTTCAAATAGAGTACATTATTTTTACAATACACTCCTTTTACAATACATTCCTTTTAGATTGCTTACCTTTTCAGCAAATTAAACAGCCCCTTAAACTAATTACGGTTAATAGCAGCAGTGATTAGCATCTATTGATTAAAGCTTAATAAATTCTTGATTCTATAAATCACATTTTATTAGTTCATACTTGCAAACAGCTAGTGAGAAGTTTGTACACACAGATTAGTGTTAGCTATGTACAAGCTTATGATTGATTGAATGTCCATGGAATCCGCATTTTCTCAGTCCTCACCTAATAATTTCTCTTCTCTGGCAGCCATAAATTGTTCAATAATTAGGAAATGAGTGTCAGGCTGTTGTTTGATCGAACTGTTTCCGAGTCATTATATTTATGAATGAGAAAGTGTCTACAGTTGCAGGCCTAATATATGCTATTTCTTCAAGCTCTGTGATCTTTGTTCCCAGGGAGTTATATTTTCTCTTCCAAAAAAATATAGAAGTGCCCCCTTTCTCATTGCAATGGGTCATTTTTGTCCAAATGTCTATAAAAATGCAATTTTTCTCCCCTAGAATCTTTTAATATAGGTTAATGTAGTCCCCACTGATGACTATTTCAGCCCAATTTCAAGTCCCCACTGATGACTATTTCAGCCTCTATGTAAACAGTATGCTGACTAATTTGTCACTTTTATAGACTTTGGGATTAAAATGGCCTCATGCAAATAGTCAGGAGACTATTTTGATATTTTGCTCGTTTCTTTGCTGTAATATATTCTCTCAGCCTTCTTAGAATTAGTTGTTTGACCACACATTCTATCGGTTTCCCTCTGCACTGGTTGTTGCCTATTAATAACCTTTTGAACGAAGTAAATACTATGCGCAATCAATATATTTGATTCTCAAGTGTGTTAATGAATATCTCAGACATGAAGAATAATCTGAAAGAAATCTCTTGAATGAAAATTTTCAGGAAGAATCTTTTGAACGTGCTTGATTTTCTGAAGCGGCCCAATGCAGATGAGCTCGTCTCTGGAACCAAAGATCGAGTAAATTTACATGAAAAGTTCAAAGCTGCCATTGAAGCTGCCTTTCCTGGAACAATTGCTCAGCTTTCTGTCAAAGCCCAAGAGAAGTTTGCTCAGAATAAGCAACTAAACTTCTGGGAATCTGTCACTGATTCCAACACTGGAGGATTCAGGTTCTCTTTCTAACCTGTTTATCCAAAATTTAGAGAATTTTCTGTTTTTCCTAAGCTTTTTTTGTTCTGAATCTCGTGTTTCTAAAATTAACTTTGTATGGATGTTTTATTCAATTTGTAGTGTTCAGATAGACATGAAACTGTTTTTGGTTATCATAATTAGATTTATGGTCAAGCAGATCAAACTTGTTAAGAAAGACAAGGGAGGGGAGGACGTTCACAAATTTAAATTAAATAAAAAGTTGAGTTTTGTTATGTATTTGTAATGTCCCCCTATTGATTGCTTTACATTTTTGAATCGATTAGACAAAAAAATCTGTTGTTAGATATTTAAGTACATAGGAATTGAGTTTATGCACGTAAATCTTCCATAATAAAATGTGATATGACATGGCCGCATTTGAGCACATGCATTTTTTAAAATTTAATGACCGCGACCTTCTTCATGCCAATTAATGTGGCCATGTCATCTTAAGCAATAATTATAATAAAATCAGTAATCTAGTATAGGCCCACTTTTTTATTGTTTATAAATTTATCTACAACATTTATTATCATTTAAATTATAAATATTTTATAATATATATATATATATATAAGGAGGATCTGT